AAATATATCTACAATACTTCCACGTAAGAAGTTCTAAAACTGATAATATTGAACAAAAATATTTGGTTATTAAAGCTAAACTATATGGAACAAGTTCTTGCTAGTTCTAAAACAATATTTCCCGGATTGATAAAATTATATAACTTTGGAATACAAATCATTCATAAATGAATCAGTTCTAGAACCGTTCTGTAGAACATAGAATTAAGAAGACTTGAGGCCCACAATTCGGAATAAAATATAATCTATATCTATAAGATCTATAAATATAAAATATATCTATAATACTTCCACTAAAGAAGTCCTAAAACTGATAATATTGAACAAAAATATTTGGTTATTAAAGCTAAATTAAATAGAACAAGTTCTTGCTCGGACTAATACAATATTTCCCGGATTAATAGAATTATAGAACTGTTGCTTATGTTTGATAAATGTTTCTTTTTATTTAAGAATTCTTTATATTGATCTAAATTGGTTAACCCTTAATTATAGATACTGTGTAGGCTGTGTATTAGAAAAATGTCAAAATATTTGTAGGAATTTTCTAACAATAATGCCCGGAAGTAAAACTGACATACAAATTAACATATTTGGAACGTTCTTATGTATTAAGTAAGATAATTCTGAAAAGAAAAAGGTGTTAAAAAGCAAATTCCATTAAAATCATATAGAATAAATATATTTATTCTAATAATAGGTCTGTTCAACAACCAACAAGCTAAACATTACTAATCGACCGATTAGACTTGAATTGCTATTGCAATTATCAAACACCAAATGAAACAGCTGTTTTTTGTTTATTCTTTAGCCTGGCTAAATTTTTACAATAATTTAAGGTTAAATACAAGTGTTTTAACTGTTTTGGAAGCTTTACCCTAAAGAATAATGATTAAAAAAGTATAAAGAACTATGTACAGGAAACTAAGTTATTGAACCTTGGACTTTCATAGATCTCTACATAAGTTTTTTCACCAAAATTGTACATGAAAAAGAGCACACAAAAGTGCCAATGGCGGACACATGGACATCAGTTTACTGAAGATTCCCAGGTATCTAAATCTTTCATGATCTTATCAACAATAATATTTAATATTGCTACGAGTAATTTGCAATGAGAAGTGAATACCTCTACTGTATATAATATACACTTACATATTTTTGTAAATTATAAGGTTATGTATGCATATGGTGTAAATACGTCAGACAATTTGTAATCCAATATGATAATGACAATTTTGCTTTAATAGTTTTTTTATTACTTTTTTTTGAAAGAAATTAACAAAGCATGTAATTGTCGCTTTGTTTTCTATTTATATTTTAATATAATTTAACACTTAATTATTTACGTTTTTAGCTAATATTTATATTTTTTCAATTTTACTATAATTGTTAAAAACTTTATACGTGTTTTATTATTAAATTTTCTTTAAAAATTTATTGTTTTAATTCAATTTTTTTTCAAAACCACACGCACAACTATTAACAATCTATTTTTTTTTTTATTAATTAACCGTTTACCGTTATTGTTTAAAAGTAACTAAATTTTTATAATAATTTACCAACGATTTTATAACTTTTATAACGCCCAATCGTGTAACAAATTTAACTATAGCCCACTTAAGAATTTTATTTTATTTAAAATATTTTCTTATTTAATATTTATTTATTTGCTTTTGTTTAATAAATTTAACAAAAATAACTGTTATTTGTTGTTATATGTATGTGGTTTTACATATAAATAACTTTTATTTTAACATATTTTATGAACTTGACTTTGAAATTATTACAACAAATAATAATAAATCTTAGATTTGTTATTTACTCTCGTAAGTAACATTTGTTTCAGCGTTATTAATGCAACTAAATCTTTTCGGTTTCACTAAGATGAACTGAACTGCGCAACTGTGCACACTGTTTTGTGTGCATTTTTCTGGTACAGAGCGCCAGCATTGTAGGTATACTGGGAAGAACTAACTTGAAAAGAGATATATATACAAAATTGGTTTAGCTTTTGTTAGAAAGAATTTTAGAGCAATTCCGCCCTTAATATCGACTATAGACTACGAGTACGATTTGGCCTCTCACGTGCTCCCAGGTCTTAGATACTGTTATGCTTCCGTAGCGAGCAGATGAGAATGCTGTTATTAGTCATAACGGGACACTGTTCAATTGGCCATCACGCCAGAAGAATGGACTAGATTATAGAATAGACTATGGACTAGACTATAGACTAGACTATGGACTAGACTATAGACCAGACTATAGACCAGACTATAGACTAGTCTAGTGATAGTCCTAGACTATAGACTAGACTATAGACTAGACTATAGACTAGACTATAGACTAGATTATAGACTAGACTATAGACTAGATTATAGACTAGACTACAGACTAGACTATAGACTAGACTATAGACTAGACTATAGAGTAGACTATAGACTAGACTATAGACTAGACTATAGACTAGACCATAGACTAGACCATAGACTAGACTATAGACTAGACTATAGACTAGACTATAGACTAGACTATAGACTGCACTATAGACTTGACTATAGACTTGACTAGAGAATAGACTATAGACTAGACTATAGACTAGACTATAGACTAGACTATAGACTAGACTATAGACTAGACTATAGACTGGACTATAGACTAGACTATAGACTAGACTATAGACTAGACTATAGACTAGACTATAGACTAGACTATAGACTAGACTATAGACTGGACTATAGACTAGACTATAGACTAGACTATAGACTAGACTATAGACTAGACTATAGACTAGACTATAGACTAGACTATAGACTAGACTATAGACTAGACTATAGACTAGACTATAGGCTAGACTATAGACTAGACTATAGACTAGACTATAGACTAGACTATAGACTAGACTATAGACTAGACTATAGACTAGACTATAGACTAGACTATAGACTAGACTATAGACTAGACTATAGACTAGACTATAGACTAGACTATAGACTAGACTATAGACTAGACTAGACTATAGACTAGGCTATAGACTAGACTATAGACTAGACTATAGACTAGACTATAGACTAGACTATAGACTAGACTATAGACTAGACTATAGACTTGACTATAGACTAGACTATAGACTAGACTATAGACTAGACTATAGACTAGACTATAGACTAGACTATAGACTAGACTATAGACTAGACTATAGACTAGACTATAGATAGACTATAGACTAGACTATAGACTAGACTATAGACTAGACTATAGACTAGACTATAGACTAGACTATAGACTAGACTATAGACTAGACTATAGACTAGACTATAGACCAGACTATACACTAGACTATAGACTAGACTATAGACTAGACTATAGACTAGACTATAGACTACACTATAGACTACACTATAGACTAGACTATAGACTTGACTATAGACTAGACTATAGACTAGGCTAGTGAGAGTCCTAGACTATAGACTAGACTATAGACTAGACTATAGACTAGACTATAGACTAGACTATAGACCAGACTATAGACTAGACTATAGACTAGACTATAGACTAGACTATAGACTAGACTATAGACTAGACTATAGACTAGACTATAGACTAGACTATAGACTAGACTATAGACTAGACTATAGACTAGACTATAGACTAGACTATAGACTAGACTATAGACTGGACTATAGACTAGACTATAGACTAGACTGTAGACTAGACTATAGACTAGACTATAGACTAGATTATAGACTAGACTATAGACTAGACTATAGACCAGACTATAGACAAGACTATAGACTAGACTATAGACTAGACTATAGACCAGACTATAGACTAGACTATAGACTAGACTATGGATTAGACTATAGACTAGACTATAGACCAGACTATAGACTAGACTATAGACTAGACTATAAACTAGACTATAACTAGACTATAACTAGACTATAAACTAGACTATAGACTAGACTGTAGACTAGACTGTAGACTAGACTATAAACTAGACTAGACTATAGACTAGACTATAGACTAGACTATAGACTAGACTATAGACTAGACTATAGACTAGACTATAGACTAGACTATAGACTAGACTATAGACTAGACTATAGACTAGACTATAGACTAGGCTATAGACTAGACTATAGACTAGACTATAGACTAGACTATAGACTAGACTATAGACTAGACTATAAACTAGAATATAGACTAGAATATAGACTAGACTATAGACTAAACCATATACTACATAATCTACTAGACTATAGACTGGACTGTACAGTAAACTATAGACTGGATTGTAAAGTAGACTATAGACCAGACTTTGGTTTGTACTTGTTGTACAACTAGTTCTTTCTTCAATATAATATCACGTACGAATCCATTTTAATAATAAGTACTTTATATTGGACACACAGGCATATCATTTGTGCAACATTGTCATTATAATAAAAACACTATAAGAAAATAACACAAAAAAATAAAATCACAATTTCGTGAATCATTGTTTTTTTGCAAACAAGTTGCAAGTATAACTTCGCATTTAGCTCAAGAGAAACTCACACACAATTAGTTTAATTTTAGAGCAAAATTACTCTCAAAATTTCTTTTGGAATAAAGCTCGATTTGGAAATATTTAAACAAACACAAAAATATTTAAAACTAGGTCAAGGTTCTTGACTTTCCTATATAAAAATATATATTTTATTGAAAAAAATATTGTTTTATTTTAAGAGTTTTTTCTTAGGTATTTAGTGGATAATGCTCGTGAATAGATAAAGTTAAAACTAATTTCGTAAATACCCAGGAAACTAACTAACATTAAACCATTTCCAAAATATATTTCAGAAATTTCAAAGGTTTAGTAATTTCAGAAACATAAATAGACATTTTTCAAAATACAATTAAAATTTTCGTAATTTTAATTAGAAATTTCTAAAATCCTTTCAGATTTTGGTACACTTTTGGAAATAAATGTTTAGAAATTATTAAGAAATACTTACATTCAAGAAATCTCTGAGCCAAACAACATCTGGTTTGGGATCTCCCACAACTTCACAGAATATAATGACCGTATCACCTTCATAAGCTTCACTAGAACGTGGCTTAACCAAAAACAAAGGTTCTTTGGAATAACTGGAAAGAAAACAAAACCAAAATATAAATACCATTAAGACCACAATAAAAATAGACAGATGAATCGAATATTACTTCTACATATTAAGCAAAAGTTTGAAATACTTACGGCATATCATTGGTGAATATAGCTGGAACACTTCTCGTGATTTGTTTGCTAACATCTTCCTCTTCCAAAGGTTCTATACACACACGGCACATACTCTCCTGTTTACCCACAGCATTTGAGGCCACACAAGTATAAATGCCAGCATCGCGTACACTCGTTTCGGATATAATCAATTCCACTAAACCAGTTGCATCCAGAGAGACAGCTAATCTTCGGCTAGGACGTAATTTTACACCATTACGATGCCATGATACACCGACCGCAGGATAAGCTTCAACTTTGGCAGTTAAACGTAATTCTTGACCTTCTTGTACTATATAGAGAGGATCGAGTGGCATATAAAATTCGGGCGATATATAGGCCCGTATACCCTTATCCACAACCAAAGAACAATGGCAGGACACAGAACCCAATTCATTTTTGGCAGTACAGGTATAGATACCACTATCACTGAGCTGAGCACTTGCCAATTCCAAAGTATAGAATTGATTTTCTTCGGTAATAAGACAACGCCTACTGGACTGTAAAAGTTCATCATCTTTGTACCAGGTAATTTCCGGTTGAGGATGTCCCACCACCTGGCAGGTCAAACGTACAGGATAGGTGACCTGAACACGTCTATCTCTTAGACGCATGGTGAAAATGGGTAAGGTATCTCCGATGGTGGCTAGATTATCCTGACGAACAATTTCTTTGAGACGGTGATCGGCCTCGAAGAGTTTGGGATCGGAGACTACTTGTAGACGAGCAAATGTCGATACTCTACCTTTAGAGTTTGTAGCCTCACAGGTGTAACGTCCAGCATCAGCTTCGGTTACCTGCTTAATGGTCAAAGTACAGGTGGAGCCAATTTTACGTGTCTTAACACGTTCACTTTCCAAATTACTGCTTATGCGTAAGCCATCCTTATACCAGACAATATCTGGTCGAGGGGTGCCACGTACTACAGCCTCCAAAACGAATTCCTTATTTAATAAAGCCTTAACTTGGCCGGGCAAAATAACCGTAAACTCAGGCAAACATTCAACACCACCCACTTGCAAGGGGACCGAAGTCTGAACCGAAGGACCCCAACCATAACGATTTTTGGGTGTTACACGGAAATGATATTCTACATTCGATTTCAGATTGAAAGCATCAAAGGAGTTAATGGGAGTAAGACCAAGTTCTTTCCACATGGCACCACCATCATGGCCCACCACCCAAGCATCTACCCGATAGGCTATAACAGGAGCAGAATTATTGGTGGGCGGTTTGCCCCAAGACAAACTAATATGTGTTGGACCCGAATCGATAAGCAGGGGTTCCGTTGAAATGGCAGCCGGTGGATCTAATAAAACAAACAATCTACTTTAGAGGCCTTTTACAACATTTACTTTTTATATTTATTTGCAATACTTATTAAGGAGACAAAATAAAACTCTTTTTAAATTTTTTTATCTTTTCCCCGGAGAAACATTTTTATTTTTATTATATTTTAATTTTATATGTATGTATGTAAGTTTATAAGTGTGTTTGTTATACGTAAATGTAAACCTGGATTAGAGTGACATAATCCATTTTGGAAATAAACAAAAATATATAAAATCAATTAAGTAAATTAAATTTAAAAAAAAAATTAACAAAATTTGTAATCACGTTCATAATACAATCGTGAGCTAAATGAAAAACTAAATACTAAATATTTGTGACAATGGAAAACAAAAATTAAATACAACTGTTATTTTTGTTGTTGTTGCTATTGCTGTTGTCGTTGTTGTACTCAAATTGAGTGTTTTTTTAATCCAGGGTCGAAACCTGTGCATTTTATTTTATATTTTGGGAAAATATTTTTTGTATCAAATCATTTTCTTTTAGATCCTGTAATTAACTGGAATAAGATAAATTAAATACAAAAATTATTATTTATTTTTCTAACTGGAGACCAACCAACTCAAAGGGACAACAGTGTACAATGCTTTTTATTTGACAAAGACTTTCTTTTCACCAACAACGACAGACATTTTGAGGATAAACGACATTACAAAATTACATACATACACACACTTACACACGAATAAATGTTTCAGGAATTATTGGAAAATGCTTGCAACAAGTTCCAAACACAATAAATACATTAAACAATGGGTCTATTTAAAAATAGTAGATTGCACAGTGGTTTAATCCAAAGAAATAGGATATAAATCAGTATTAGACTAGACTATAGACTAGAATATAGACTAGACTTTACACTAGACTATAGACTGGACTAGACTGGACTATAGACTGGACTATAGACTAGACTATAGACTAGACTATAGACTAGACTATAGACTAGACTAGACTAGACTATAGACTAGACTATAGACTAGACTATAGACTAGACTATAGACTAGACTATAGACTAGACTATAGACTAGACTATAGACTAGACTATAGACTAGACTATAGACTAGACTATAGACTAGACTATAGACTAGACTAGATATATACTAGACTATAGACTAGACTATAGACTAGACTATAGACTAGACTATAGACTAGACTATAGACTAGACTATAGACTAGACTATAGACTAGACTATAGACTAGACTATAGACTAGACTATAGACTAGACTATAGACTAGACTATAACTAGACTATAGACTAGACTATAGACTAGACTATAGACTAGACTATAGACTAGACTATAGACTAGACTATAGACTAGACTATAGACTAGACTATAGACTAGACTATAGACTAGACTATAGACTAGAAACTATAGACTAGACTATAGACTAGACTATAGACTAGACTATAGACTAGACTATAGACTAGAACTGATAGACTAGACTATAGACTAGACTAGACTAGACTATAGACTAGACTATAGACTAGACTATAGACTAGACTATAGACTATACTATAGACTAGACTATAGACTAGACCTATAGACTAGACTATAGACTAGACTATAGACTAGAACTATAGACTAGACTATAGACTAGACTATAGACTAGACTATAGACTAGACTATAGACTAGACTATAGACTAGACTATAGACTAGACTATAGACTAGACTATAGACTAGACTATCTAGACTATAGACTAGACTATAGACTAGACTATAGACTAGACTATAGACTAGACTATAGACTAGACTATAGACTAGACTATAGACTAGACTATAGACTAGACTATAGACTAGACTATAGACTAGACTATAGACTAGACTATAGACTAGACTATAGACTAGACTATAGACTAGACTATAGACTAGACTATAGACTAGACTATAGACTAGACTATAGACTAGACTATAGACTAGACTATAGACTAGACTATAGACTAAACTATAGACTAGACTATAGACTAGACTATAGTCTAGACTATAGACTAGACTATAGACTAGACTATAGACTAGACTATAGACTAGACTATAGACTAGACTATAGACTAGACTATAGACTAGACTATAGACTAGACTATAGACTAGACTATAGACTAGACTATAGACTAGACTATACACTAGACTATACACTAGACTATAGACTAGACTATAGACTAGACTATAGACTAGACTATAGACTAGACTATAGACTAGACTATAGACTAGACTATAGACTAGACTATAGACTAGACTATAGACTAGACTATAGACTAGACTATAGACTAGACTATAGACTAGACTATAGACTAAACTATAGACTAGACTATAGACTAGACTATAGACTAACTATAGACTAGACTATAGACTAGACTATAGACTAGACTATAGACTAGACTATAGATAGACTATAGACTAGACTATAGACTAGACTATAGACTAGACTATAGACTAGACTATAGACTAGACTATAGACTAGACTATAGACTAGACTATAGTCTAGACTATAGTCTAGACTATAGACTAGACTATAAACTAGACTATAAACCAGACTATAGACTAGACTATAAACTAGACTATAAACCAGACTATAGACTAGACTATAGACTAGACTATAGACTAGACTATAGACTAGACTATAGACTAGACTATAGACTAAACTATAGACTAGACTATAGACTAGACTATAGACTAGACTATAGACTAGAACTATAGACTAGACTATAGACTAGACTATAGACTAGACTATAGACTAGACTATAGACTAGACTATAGACTAGACTATAGACTAGACTATAGACTAGACTATAGACTAGACTATAGACTAGACTATAGACTAGACTATAGACTAGACTATAGACTAGACTATAGACTAGACTATAGACTAGACTATAGACTAGACTATAGACTAGACTATAGACTAGACTATAGACTAGACTATAGACTAGACTATAGACTAGACTATAGACTAGACATATAGACTAGACTATAGACTAGACTATAGACTAGACTATAGACTAGACTATAGACTAGACTATAGACTAGACTATAGACTAGACTATAGACTAGACTATAGACTAGACTATAGACTAGACTATAGACTAGACTATAGACTAGACTATAGACTAGACTATAGACTAGACTATAGACTAGACTATAGACTAGACTATAGACTAGACTATAGACTAGACTATAGACTAGACTATAGACTAGACTATAGACTAGACTAGAGACTAGACTATAGACTAGAACTATAGACTGAGACTATGAACTAGACTATAGACTAGACTTATAGACTAGACTATGAACTAACTATAGACTAGACGATAGACTAGACTATAGACTAGACTAGAAAGACTAGACTATAAGACTAGACTATAGACTAGACTATAGACTAAGACTATAGACTAGACTATAACTAGACTATAGACTAGACTATAGACTAGACTATAGACTAGACTATAGACTAGACTCATAGAACTAGACTAGAGACTAGACTTATAGACTAGACTATAGACTAGACTATAGACTAGACTATAGACTAACTATAGACTAGACTATAGACTACTAAGACTAGACTATAGACTAGACGATAGACTAGACTATAGACTAGACTATAGACTAAGACCTATAGACTAGAACTATAGAACTAGACTATAGACTAGACATTAGACTAGACTATAGACTAGACTATAAGACTAGACTAACTATAGACTAACGAGAACTATAGAGCTAGACTATAGACTAGACTATAGACTAAGACTATAGACTAAGACTAATAGACTAAGACTATAGACTAGACTATAGAATACTATAGACATAAAGAAATAGACTATAGACTATAGACTACTAGACTATAGACTCGACTATAGACTAGACTATAGACTAGACTATAGACTAGACTATAGCCTAGACTATAACTAGACTATGACTAGACTATAGACTAGACTATAGACTAGACTATAGACTAGATAAGACTAGACTATAGACTGAGACTATAGACTAGACTATAGACTAGACTATAGACTCGACTATAGACTAGACTATAGACTAGACTATAGACTAGACTATAGACTAGACTATAGACTAGACTATAGACTAGACTATAGACTAGACTATAGACTAGACTATAGACTAGACTATAGACTAGACTATAGACTAGACTATAGACTAGACTATAGACTAGACTATAGACTAGACTATAGACTAGACTATAGACTAGACTATAGACTAGACTAGACTAGACTATAGGACTAGACTATAGACTAGACTATAGACTAGACTATAGACTAGACTATAGACTAGACTATAGACTAGACTATAGACTAGACTAGACATATAGACTAGACTATAGACTAGACTATAGACTAGACTATAGACTAGACTATAGACTAGACTATAGACTAGACTATAGACTAGACTATAGACTAGACTATAGACTAGACTATAGACTAGACTATAGACTAGACTATAGACTAGACTAATAGACTAGACTATAGACTAGACTATAGACTAGACTATAGACTAGACTATAGACTAGACTATAGACTAGACTATAGACTAGACTATAGACTAGACTATAGACTAGACTATAGACTAGACTATAGACTAGACTAATAGACTAGCTATAGGACTAGACTATAGACTAGACTATAGACTAGACTATAGACTAGACTATAGACTAGACTATAGACTAGACTATAGACTAGACTATAGACTAGACTATAGACTAGACTATAGACTAGACTATAGACTAGACTATAGACTAGACTATATTAGACTAGACTATAGACTACGACTATAGACTAGACTATAGACTAGACTATAGACTAGACTATAGACTAGACTATAGACTAGACTATAGACTAGACTAGACTAACTATAGACTAGACTATAGACTGACTATAGACTAGACTATAGACTAGACTATAGACTAGACTATAGAACTAGACTATAGACTAGACTATAGACTAGACTATATAGACTAGATTATAGACTAGACTATAGACTAGACTATAGACTAGACTATAGTACTAGGACTATAGACTAGACTATAGTCTAGACTATAGACTAGACTATAAGACTAAGACTATAGACTAGACATAGACTAGACTATAGACTAGACTATAGACTAGACTATAGACTCGACTATAGACTAGACTATAGACTAGACTATAGACTAGACTATAGACTAGACTATAGACTCAGACTATACACTAGACTATACACTAGACTATACACTAGACTATACACTAGACTATAGACTAGACTATAGACTAGACTAAATTAGAAAAATGCAGATTTATTTCCTTTTTTCGAACTATCACACTGAGAAACGTAGTAATAACAATTCGAAAATACAAAATATACAAATAAACATAAAAGTAAAATATTTAAACTTACCTTTGAAATATGAAACATCGGGATAACTTTCTAGTGCTAGACCCCAACGAGGAGCCGAAGGAGTTTCAGAACGTGCTCTGGGCATTACCTAAATTAATTATATAGATGATAACGAGTTTGTGACATTGAATACATTAACAAAAAAACTCAAATAATAATAAAGTAAATTTAAAAAAATTATAATAATAATAAAATAATTTCAGAATAATATAAATTTCTTTCGGTTTTATGTTTAAAAGTATGATTAAATTATTTTTGGCAAGTACATGTAAGCTGTAAGTAAGCAAGCAAGCTTTGAAGCTAAAGCTGAATTTAATCTTTCTTTTTAGGAGTTTTAATCTAAAAAAGCAAAAAAAAAAAGAAAAGATAGATTTAAAAATAAAATATCAAGAAAGCCAAAGAACAACTTGGACAGGCAAAGTTTAACGGCACAAAATGCTGGCTTATAGACAAACTAACTAGGCTAATGAGACATATATATGATCATACATAAAGTTTATTAGTATTGCTTAATTAACACTTACCTCTACAGTAACGAATATTCGGTCAGTGCCATTGTTATTACGAGCCACCACAAAGTAAGTGCCAGAATCCGAAATTTGTGCCTTTTGTACGGTAAATCTGGTATAATCATCTGAGACTTCTTTGCTAACACGATCAGATTTTGTAATATCTTTGGTACCCTTCATGAAAGTCACTACACACAAATAAAATGATTCCACATTAATATTACTAATTAAGTTTAATGATTACAATAATACTTACATCTTGGTTTTGGATCACCAGCAATTCTAAAGGAAATCGAGAAGGGATCACCAACAGCAATCTTCATTTCCGTTTCGGGTCTTGAAAGGAACAATGGAGGACGCTCATCCTTCGAAACACCCACGGCTACATCAACATTTGCATGCGATTCGATGCGACCGAAAGCATTTTGAGCTCGGCAAGTATAGGTACCTTCATTCTCAGCCTGAGCATTCATAATGGCCAAAGTGTAAACACCATGTTCATAGAATGTTGTAACATTAGGTTGTCCCGCCAAGGGTTGGCGATCACGGAACCACTGAACATCAATAGGTGTATGAGTCTGCATAAACTCAGCCGATATGGCAATTGTGCCACCATTGCAAACAGTTTGATTGCCCAAAGGTGTAACGAAATGTGGCTTATTAGGATCACGATGGAAATAGCCCATAGTCTTTTCCAAGGCAAAACGTTCACGTCCCTTGAAATCGACTTGATGGGTAATCTTACTTTCGGCCACCTCATTACGAGCCACACAGGCATATAAACCAGAATCCTTTTCAGTGGGTTTAGTTACAATCAATTTGGAGTAACCATCGGGTTGATCGATTTGTATGTATCTGTCGCCTGGTATAAGCATATCTGTTCCCTTCAACCATTGTATTTCGGGACGTGGTTTACCACGTACACGGCAATCCAAAACCAACTCATTCTCATTAATAGAATAGGTGTCTGTATAAAAAGAACATTATTAATATTTGTTTCATAATTTTTCATAAATTTAGGAATATATTCTGAAAAAACACACTGGACAAAAAAATCACAACAACATTCAGAAACATTCAAATATATGTTGATGATGAAGTAATTGTAATGTCCTGTGAAAAAGAAGAGTTAAATTAATAATATATCGGAAAAAATGACTCCTTAGACCGCTTGATAAATAAGGAAATAGTGTCGATTAATATAATAGAACATCTATATATAGTCTAGCCTTAAGTATAGTCTTTAGTCTAGCCTGTAGTCTAAACCTTGTCTATAGTCTAATCTATAGTCTATGCTATAGTCTAGTCAATAGTCTAGACTATAGTCTAGCCTGTAGTCTAGTCTATTGTCTACAGTCTTGTCTATTAATATAGTCTATAGACTAATCTATAGTCCATTCATTAGTCTATAGTTTATTCTATAGTCTAGTCTATAGCCTAATCTAAAGTCTAGTCTTCAGTCAAGTCTATAGTTTAGTCTATAGTGTAATCTATAATCGATTATATAGTCTAGTCTTTAATCTAATCTATAGTATAAACTAAAGTCTAGTCTCTAGACCGGTATGAAAAGATTATAATAAACATAACAATCTGTTAAATGCGCTCTCCCTATATACACCTCTCATATAAATACCTTTAATGGACTGTACGAATGTTGCTGGCTGTGGAGCATCTTCGTAATGTTTATAAATGCGCAATTGACTTTGACTAAGACTTTCGCCGTAATCATTAGTAGCCCGGCATGTATAACGACCGCTATCACTTTCTTGTGCCGCGAAAATTTCCAATATCGCCTCGCCATTATGGAATATGGTTTGATAACGTGAATCCTTGGGTAAAGGTTGATTATCTTTCAACCATTCAATGCTCGTACAACCATCATAAACTACGCTGCAACTTAAACGTACATTTGAACATTCGGTTACGGTACGATCGTGTAATAAAGTACTAAACAAGGGTTTTCTTTGTGATGCCACCTGATGGCTGCGTCCCAAGGACAAACGTGTTAGATTTTCTGAATCATTATCGATCACATCCAAAGTTCGTTTAGGTTTATCTTCATGTGTATTCGCGAAACCATTGATTTCTGATTCAGCAGCAGCCGTCATAAGTTTCTTAAGATCGGCTATTTTAATAACTTTTGTAATCGATTCAATGCCCTCATTCGTTTCGGCAAAACAGGAGAAAGTGCCACAATCTGAGGGTATAGGATTGCGTATAATAAGTTTGCGCACACCACCAACTTCCTCAATGGAACGATAACGATTATTCGATATAGTATGATCATCGCGAATCCATGTTACACATGGACGACCATGAACATTACATGATAGTATGATTTCACTGCGAGCCGCATCAAAAGTAGCTAGAAATATTTAAATGAAAGCGTTACAAAACGAGGCCATTTTAGCATGAATTATTTAAAACATAAGCCCTGTCATTAGCGACAATTCAGTATTCAGTTCTGCTGACCATTTATCCGGACACTAGGTCCATTCAGTCATAAATGATGATAAAATCAACAAAACGAAGTTTACAGCATTATCTATCGCTTGGTGTTTGCCAACACTTCTTTCTTTAAGCAACTTTACACAGTTAAAGCGCCTTATACTCTATATACTTTTGTTTAGGGTTATTGGGTAACTTCTTACCTGTTACGGGACCCGAGAAACTTGTTGGCAATTCAGCCTTTGTATTATCGTAAACCGTTAGTTTACATATAGATTCTGTGGAATTGCGATTATTACGTACTACACACTTGTATTCACCGGTATCATCGGGACGGGCATCATAAATCTCTAAACTTAAGGCACCATTGATATTGTAGATTTTGTGACGTGAATCTTTGGTAACACGTTCATCGCCACGCAACCAATAAACATCTTCAATTAGACCGCTGACATAACAGATTAATTGAGCCTTAGTTCCCGAGGCAATAGTCATGGGTTTCATAGGAGTTTCAACATTAAGTTTAAATTTCGCCTCTCTAGAGCGTAATTTTTGTTCTTGTCTTTCGTTGCTGTCAACTTCATCTTGGACTTTATCTAATTCCGCAACTTCCCGTTGTTCATTATATGACTTGGATGCTCTACGTTCGGTTATCTTTTTCATATAATCCGAGATGTCTACAAATTTGCTGATTTTCATTTGTCCGCTCTCACTTTCCGCATAGCAAGTGTAAAGACCCGTGTCTTCTTTTAGGGGATTTTGTATAATCAATTGTCTAACTCCATCTTGTAGATCAGTAAACTTGTATTTGTTACCCTCCTCCGATAACAAGGTATTATCCTTTTGCCAGTAAACATTTGGTTTAGGATTTCCGGAAACTTTGCACTCCAGCGTAATATGATTTTCATGAGAATGATATGCATCTAAAGTGGAAATGAAATTGTGAAACATACAAACATAAATTGCCATGAGAAAAAAAACATAACAAGTTTTGGAACTACTTATGGGAAACTATGAAAAATTGTAGCATGAACATACCTGTACATTTTTACTTGCGAGACAGACAGATCACTTGACATCACTTTAGACTTTTCTACATAGATCTTAACTCTAGAACTTACCTTTAATGCCAACTGTAAATGTAGGGGCTACTAATTCTTCTTTGCCTGTGCTATAGACAAACAAAGTACAAGTGGAAACAATTTCATTTTCAGAACCCTTCACCTTTAGTGTATATACGCCACTTTGCTCCTCGGTGACGTCAATCAAATTCAACCAAGCAATGCCATCTTGCATAGACAATTTACTCTTGGGACCAAATGCAATGGGAGTTTCTCCATGGAACCAACGAGCGGTGGGATCTGGACCATCAATACTAACCATCCATTTGACATTGCTGCCTGCCTTAACCGTACGATTCGATAAGAAGTTTCTAAAGTAGATGCGTTTTCTTAGATCTGGTGGAGGTGGTACTTCACGTCTTCTGCCACCTTCCTCGTCTTCCTCCTTCTTCTTGCGTTTCTTTTCCTTTTCTTCTTCGGTTTCCTGTGTGGGTGGCAATGCCGGTGGCCTGTCCCTGGTTGGTGAGACTGGTCGTCTACGTTTTGGCTGTACCGTGACCATGTGTGCAATTTCAGCCTGGCCTTCACGATTCTCCGCTTGGCAAACATATTTACCACTGTCGGCTGGCGTTGGATCCATAATGAATAGTTCCAAAGTGCCGTCTTCATGTTCCACAGTTTGATACTTTTCGCTGGGTTCTATTTTAACACCATCCTTAGACCAGGTAACGGTGGGAGTGGGCAAGCCACGCACATGACAATCCAGCTGAACCTCATTAATCTTGCCATGATAAGTATCCTTAATATTGCGGGTAAATGTTGGAGGTACATCTCCTGTACCCGGATCAGAGTACACCTCCAGCCTACAGAAGGTAGAAGCCTCACCAGTCTCATCCCTAGCCCAGCATTTATATTCTCCCGAATCATCTACAGTGGCCGAAGGTATCTCCAAAGTACACAAACCCTCCACATAGCGACCTCTGATCTTTTGACTGTTTTGTATTTGTTCATCATTTTTGAACCATTTAACTTGAGGTTCCTTGGCCTCCAAGAAGCAGGATATTTTCACCTTGGATCCTTCGGCTACGACACGATCCCTAACGGCGGTGGCAAAGTGTATACCTATAACCTTTTCACGTTTCTTAAGACTACTAGTTTCAGAACCAGTATCGGTAGCATAGGCTGAAGCAGAGGAGGCTTCCGCTTCCTCATCATCCTTCTTGGGCCTGCGTACACGTTTCTTACCCTTACTGCCTTCATCGCCCTCCGATTCAGCTTCAGATTTAGCCGACTCCTTTGGTTTCTCTACCTCTTCACGCTTTGGTTTCAATAAGCTTTTATCCGCATGGAAAACACCATGTATGTTATCGGCAATATGATGTTCTTTTCCCCTAAACAAAACATGATGAGCTATTTCCGCCTTGCCAGCGGAACTCTCAGCTTTAACCATATATTTGCCACTGTCCTTGTCGTTGGGACTGTCGATTACCAGTTCGAGATTGCCATCAGCATGTTGGAAAATATGGAATCTTCCAGCATTCTCGATTTCAATATTATCCTTAAGCCACTGGATTTGTGGTGGAGGTACACCGCGAATGCCAGTCTCCAAAATTAATTCATTTGAATTCAAATGGTAAGTATCTATTTAATAGAAAACCAAAAACAAAATAAAATTAAAAAAAGAAAATTGTTGAATAAACTATTGCATAAGAAATGCAATCGTTTGTTTGCCTCTACTTGTGCAATGTTACACAATACATTATACCCCCTCCCTCTCCCTCTCCCCTTAACCTATAGACTGTATACAATTTGATTATGCTCACCTTTAATGGGGCGCACGAAAACAGGTTCGACATCGGCCGAAACGTTTGGAGTATAAACATGGAGCTGACACGATGAAGTTATTTTGCTAAATTCATTTTGAGCGATTAGAGTATAAATACCCGAATCCTCCGGTTGACAATTCAAGAATTCTAAACATGCCAAACCTTCACGATTCATATTTCTTATGCGATTACCATAGGGAACATTTTGTTCATCCTTTGTCCATTTCATGGTGGGATTAGGACCATTAACCACCGACTGCAATTTCACTTTGGAACCCACCAAAACATAACGATTTGATAAATATGTTGTAAAGTATAATTGCTGCTTGGGCGAAGGGTCAGGCATACGGCTGCGTCTTTCGTACGATATATCACCTTCATCATCCTTCCTTTTAGATTTTGGAGGCCTACCAGCCTTTTCACCGCCGGCACCAGCACCTCCCCTCCTACTGCCTGCATCCGAATCACTCATATTGCCGGATAAAACACTAGAGCGTCTGGACTGATGAACATCAACAACAACTGAGTGTGAGGTTTGTTGAGTGCCTAGTTTGTTTTGTGCAACACAGGTATAATTGCCACTATCATTCGCTGTGGGCTTGTTAATGATCAGCTCGCAAATACCATCTAAATGTTCGATCTGCACAATGCGATCATCAAGTACGACGGGTATTTGGTCTTTTATCCAAGTAACTACTGGTCGTGGATTGCCACGTATCTTAGTGTCGAGAATCAAATCGTTTTGAGAAGAATGATAAACATCTGAGAAGATGTAAAAGTTATAGTAATTTTTTTTTTAAGTGAGATAGATAGAAAGTGATCCGAATATGTGACACTATTTTTGGCAACATACATATAAATGAATATCCCACGATAATACAGCACAAAACTTAAAAATATTCACACACAAACCAACACATAAACGCTTCTACAATTGCAGTTACATTCACAGTAACACTTGTGAAAAGATCAAACGATCTTTCTATTTTGTTTTCATTAAATGACAAGATTGATCGATCGATCGATCGCTTGATAGCTAGGTGGATAGATAGTTTTTTTGACCGAATGTTAAACTAACGCCAATTTTGTCGATACACATACAATGACAGCAGTAACAAAAAAAAAAAAACAAAATACCTCTTAGTGGTAGTGCGAAAATTGGTTCATGCTCATCGCCTTCGGTTTGCGCCGCATATACCTTGAAATAGCAAGATGTCTCTATTTCGCTGAATTCATTTTTGGCAACACATTTATAGACACCAGAATTTTCCGAAGTAACATCTATTAGCTCGATAATTGCCTTATCCGCTTCGGTGCGATTCTTTACCTTCTCACCATAGGTGACCCACTTATCATCCTTCATCCAACGACAAGCTGGATCAGGACCAATTATGGTTACAACCAGTTTAACAGTTGAACCCTCCAAAGCCATGCGATCCCTCAGTTGTGTGGCAAATTTCAATTTTTGTCTATCAGAAACTAAAGTTTCAGGGGAAGCTCTGGCACCTCTAGACCTTACTTCCACCTGAGCTCTCTTCTTATCGGATTCTCCTTTAGATTTGAGAGCCTCTTCCATAGCCTTTTTAGCTGTTTGTTCTTTATCTCTTTGGATACGATCTCTGGCATGGAATATGCCATGGACATGATAATGTAGATTCTTTGCCACCTCAACCACATGATTCACTTGGGCTTCTCCACTAGAGTTTATAGCTTTGCAAGTGTATGTTCCACTATCTCTATTATTGGGCTTATAGATCAAGAGCTTATATACACCATGAGCTTCCTCCAGTTTGGTAAATTTAACATTTGGCTTGATTTCAAAAGCACCTTTCCACCAGGTTACTACGGGTCTGGGAACACCATGGACATGAACCTCAACGGTCAATTCATCGTCACGCAAGTGATAGTATTCTGAAAATGTTTAGTACACAATTAAGTAATTGTATAAATCTTGTGTTTCGCTATTTCCGAAACTCTTTCCACTCCTGTCCTTACCTTTGACTAATCTAAATGATGGTGGTGCTGGCTGATCTTTAAAAACTTCATAGATTGTAACATAACATGAAGAAGTAACCTCATCATTCATGTTCGCAATAACACACGAATATTCGCCAGAGTCCAAAATGGTCGTATTTAATACTTCTAAAGCTAACATATTATTATTGTTGATAATACGATGGGTATTATCTCTTTCGAGTTGTCGACCATCCTTAAACCATTTAACCGAAAGTTCAGGACCGCCAACAGCACAGGCCAATCGCACATTATTACCGGCTTCGACGGTGCGATCGGATAAGAAAACAATGAAATGTGGCAAACGTCTCTGGTCACGTAAACGTTGCCATTCGGCATCACGTTGTTTTTCACTCTTTCGTACAGCCAAGCTATATTTGCGCATTTGCTGCATGAACTCTTCGCCTTCCTCTTCGGCAATCTTTTTCCAGCGCTCTTCGTCATCTGGATCGGGTCTTGTGAAGCCTTCGGACTCACTACTGCTACGTCTACTGCCATTTGGTAATTCTCCAACTTCGTCCATTTCCTCATCTTCATCAAATCTTGACTCTTCGTCGTATCTTGATTCGTCATAGCGAGAGCTGGCGTCATCGTATTCGGTTACCTCATCACCTTCACCTCCCTCACCACCTTCATCCTCCTCTTCACCGGCCTCTTCTGCAGCCAAAGCAGCCTCAGCTTCTTCTTGAGCACGTCGCTCGGCTTCTTCACGCTCACGCTCCTCTTGCTCAGCTTTTAAGCGTTTTTGGCGTTCTTCAAAGGTTTCCACTGGTTTCTTTGCAGCTGCTTTTGCAGCTTCCTCTTCGGCCGCCTTAGCAGCTGCCTTGGCCTGCTCCTCCATTTGTAAAGCCAACTTGCTTTTCTTTGGTGGTGGTCTTGGAGCTGGTCCAGTAGGTTGTTGTTGTTGCTTCTCATCAAACATTTTCTTACTGGCCTTTTGGCCACCACCCATTTCAAGTTTCAGAGACAACTTTGGACTTGGGGACTTTTCTTTTTTCTCCTTCTTTTTGGCAGCTCCTTTCTTTTTACCTTTTTTAGCGGGTTCATCGGAGTCTTCCAGATCAACACTTTCTTCCCGTTCATCCCGGCCTTCACCTCCCCCCTCGCCCTCTTGACCCTCTGAACCAGCAGGACTTCCATCCTTTTCGGCTGATCTACGTGGTGTGCGCCCTTTCTTGCTACCCTTGGGCTTTTTCTTGGGCTTTACTACCTCCTCTATGATTTCCTCCTCCTCCTCTTCATACTCTTCATATTCTTCTACTACATAGATAACCTCAACATTAGAAACGTCCATTACAGCAGCACGATCAATAACTGACATATCAGAGGTTATGTAACGCACAGGTTTTTGGGCTTCTATGGGTTCTGATATATCCATAACTAAAGCACGATCAAACACAGCAGTATTGCATGTTAGGAGAGTTCTTAAATCTCTGCCCAATTCAAAGGGAGTTTTTTCTTTCTCTTCTCTTTTCAAAAAGGGAGTTATGCTGCGCCATGTGGAGGGAGTAGCACTACGTCTTGTCATGTACAAGGTAAAGGGAGTTTGGGAACGGCCACGTATTGGTGTAGCACTACGACCACGCAAACTGCCAGGAGTAGGTGATTTCAATTTACGTTTCTTTTGGGCGGGCACCTGCAAAGTATCCTGTGCAGGTGTGGCCTCTGGCTCCTCCGAGCCACGACCATCAGCTGCCGTGGTTTCACCTTCCGTTTCACCCATCGTTGCTAGTAGACACTCTTTAAATAAAGGATTTTCGAGGTCACACAACTAATAATTAATAAATATTTCGGAAAATTGTTCGATTTATATTTTTTTTTTTTATTTATTTTTCCGTTTTCGTTTCGGCTGTTATTAAACACGATTCGTTAAATTTGAAATATATATATTAACTTTAAAGGACGTGATCGGCGATCGGTCCGTTCGTAGCGACGTATATGATTCGACTGTTCCGAACGAACTGAAACAACCGTACGTTTCGAAAATTAAATTTCAAATGATCTGCGAAACGGTTGATCTGTTTGTGTTCTAATTGCATTGGCTGCCAAGAATCTATAATTAATTTATTGTCATGGACTCGGTAACGATTTATCAAACTTTGTTTTTATTTTTTTTTTTTTTTTTTGCATTAACTTGAAGGTAAATTTTATTTTTATTTACAATTTTAAAAAAAAAAACTTTCGAAATTAAACGCAATCAAATACGAAAAGTTTTCTGAATAAATATCACAGCAATTGCGAAAACTTTTCAAAACTGAACTTGACCTTAGAATATTTTTTTAATTAAAAAATATTTTATATTATAATTATAATAAAATAATAATATCCGCCTACCTGCTTGGAATCCACGTGAACTAAGACTAATTTAAATATACTGCTTAATACATAGTATATTAGTATTTTGTATTTAGTGTGTTAATTAATTAAGAGAAAAAAAATTTCAAAAAAATCAAAAGGTTTTTTTCTGGCAAAAATAGTTGGTTAGTAATTTCCTATTTATCTTAAAATAATTAAATTAAGCTATTAATATCATTAAAAAAAAGAACACACTAATCAAGCTAAAATCAATAATATCTGCATTTAAGATACCCTACATTAAACACGAGTATTAAATGCATACACAGTCATCAGATTAGTTAAGTGTAAATATTCAGTTCTCATTTTTTATGTAGGGCATCATTGAATATCACTTGAAAAAAAACAAACTAAAATAAACAATTAATCGATTAACATACCTCTGATATTACGAGTGAATATTGGCGGGGTTCCAAATTTATTCGTGGGTACATCATACAGTGTCACGAGGCAACTAGTCTCCACTTCACCGTTTCTATTTGCCGCAACACATCTGTATACAGCTGCATCATTCAAATCGGCTGATTTTATTTCTAAACAAGATAAACCATCCTTTTGCGTGATTTTGTATTTAGCACTGTTCTCGATAGCAGTGTTTTCTTTAAACCATCGTATGTCTACATCATTGCCCGATATGCCGCATGTCAGTTTAATATCGCTTCCCACCGATGAATTGCGATTGGTAAGTTTAATATCCACACTAGGCATCCTTTTGGCATTTCGTTGTTCTTTTAGGTCCATATATTCATTAGATTTTTTAGGTTTATCTGCAAGTGAAAAAAGAAACTTGTAAAATTTGATTCTGTGCCTTATCAATCTCAAAAATTTTAACTTTACCACTTTCTTTAACACTCATTTTTTCGATTAATTCTACTTCAGATTTCTTCAAATCAATTGCTTCTAACTTTTCGGGCTTAACTTCTGATTTGTCAGCTTTCACTTCGACCGGCTTTTTCAGCTCAACTTCAGTTATCTCAGCTTTTATACTGGCTTCTTTTACATCCTCATCATCAGCCTTTTTGTCTTTAGCCTCCAGTTGTTTCTTTTCTGCTTCAACAGTTTTCGTTTCGGCTGTCTGTTCATCTTTTTGTTTAGACTTTTTCGCTTTAGTTTTTAGTTTCTTTTCCTCTAACTTTTCGCTCTCAACCTCCGATTTTTCAGTTGTCTGCTTAACATCTTTAGATTTAAGTTCCTTGGCTTCTAAGTTTTCATCTACTATTTCTGTCTCCAATTTCTTCTCTTCCAGTTTTTCGGCCTTTACTTCCGTAATTTCAGTCTTTTTGGATTTAGCTTCCAGTTTGTCTTCTTCTATCTTTTCGGACTTTACTTCAGAGATTTCAGCCTTCTCCTTGGTAGTTTTTACTTCTTGTTCTTCAACCTTCTTAGTTTCATCTTCCAGTTTCTCATCTTCCACCTTATCGGCCTTTACATCAGAGATTTCTGCTGTTTCTTTAACAGTTTTTACATCATCAACCTTCTTGGTTTTAGAACCCCGTTTCTTTTCTTCTCTTTTTTCAGTCTTTACTTCAGAGATTTCGGCCTCCTCTTTAGTAGATTTTAGATCTTTTTCTTTAGGTTTCTTTGCTTTAGCTTCCAGTTCCTTTTCTTCTACCTTCTCGGCCTTCACTTCAGACACTTCAGCCTTCTCTTTAGTAGTTTTCAGTTCTTTTTCTTCAGCTTTCTTGGTTTCAGCTTCCACATTCTTTTCTTTCAGCTTTTCGGCCTTAACTTCAGAAATTTCAGCCTTCTCTTCGATAGGTTTTAGATCTTTTTCTTCAGCTTTCTTGGCTTCAGTTTCCACTTTCCTTTCTTCCACCTTTTCGACCTTTACTTCAGAGATTTCAGCCTTCTCTTTAGTAGATTTTAGATCTTTTTCTTTAGGTTTCTTTGCTTTAGCTTCCAGTTCCTTTTCTTCTATCTTCTCGACCTTTACTTCAGAGATTTCAGTCTTCTCTTTAGAAGTTTTTACATCTTTTTCTTCGGCTTTCTTGGTTTCAGCTTCCAATTTCTTTTCTTCTAGTTTTTCGGTCTTAGCTTCAGAAATTTCAGCATTCTCTTTGGTAGATTTTAGTTGTCCCTCCTTAGGTTTCTTCTCTTCAGCTTCCAGTTTCTTTTCTTCTACCTTTTCCACCTTCACTTCAGAGATTTCAGCCTTTTCTTTAGTAGGTTTAACATCTTTTTCTTCGGCTTTCTTTGTTTTAGCTTTCAATTTCTTTTCTTCTAGTTTTTCGACCTTACCTTCCGAAATTTCTGCCTTCTCTTTGGTAGTATTCACATCGTTTTCAGCCTTCTCTTTAATAGTTTTTACATCTATTTCTTCGGCTTTCTTTTCTTCAGCTTCCAGTTTCTTTTCTTCTGCCTTAACTTCAGAAATTTCAGCCTTCTCTTTGGTAGTTTTTAGATCTTTCTCTTCAGCTGTCTTGGCTTCAACCTCTAATTTCTTCTCTTCTAATTTGTCAGCCTTTACCTCAGAGATTTCAGCCTTATCTTTAGTAGATTTTAGATCTTCGGCTTTCTTTTCTTCAGCTTCCAGTTTCTTCTCTTCTGCCGTTTTGGCCCTAACTTCAGAAATTTCAGCCTTCTCTTTGGTAGTTTTTAGATCTTTCTCTTCAGCTTTCTTGGCTTCAACCTCTATTTTCTTTTCTTCTAATTTGTCAGCCTTTACTTCAGAGATTTCAGCCTTCTCTTTAGTAGATTTTAGATCTTTTTCTTTAGGTTTCTTTGCTTTAGCTTCCAGTTCCTTTTCTTCTACCTTCTCTGCCATCACTTCAGACACTTCAGCCTTCTCTTTAGTAGTTTTCAGTTCTTTTTCTTCAGCTTTCTTGGTTTCAGCTTCCAATATCTTTTCTTCCAGCTTTTCGGCCTTAACTTCAGAAATTTCAGCCTTCTCCTCGGCAGGTTTTAGATCTTTTTCTTCAGCTTTCTTGGCTTCAGTTTCCACTTTCTTTTCTTCCACCTTTTCGACCTTTACTTCAGAGATTTCAGCCTTCTCTTTAGTAGATTTTAGATCTTTTTCTTCGGCTTTCTTTTCTTCAGCTTCCAGTTTCTTTTCTTCTGCCGTTTTGGCCTTAACTTCTGAAATTTCAGCCTTCTCTTCGGTGGCTTTTAAATTTTTCTCTTCAGCTTTCTTAGCTTCAGCTTCCAGTTTCTTTTCTTCTAATTTTTCGGCCTTTACTTCAGAGATTTCAGCCTTTTCTTTAGTAGGTTTTAGTTCTTTTTCCTCAGGTTTTTTGGTTTCAGCTTCCAGTTTCTGTTCTTCTAATTGTTCAGCCTTTACTTCAGAGATTTCAGCCTTCTCTTTAGTAAGTTTAACATCTTTTTCGTCCGCTTTCTTGGTTTCAGCTTCCAATTTCTTTTCTTCTAGCTTTTCGGCCTTAACTTCAGAGATTTCAGCCTTCTCTTTGGTAGTTTTTAAATCCTTTCCATCAGCTTTCTTTGCTTCAGCTTCCTCTTTCTTTTCCGCTAGCTTTTCAGCCTTAACTTCAGAAATTTCAGCCTTCTCTTTGGTAGTTTTGAAATCTTTTTCCTCAGGTTTCTTGGTTTCAGTTTCCAGCTTCTTTTCTTCTAATTTTTCTTCAGCTTTCTTGGCTTCAGCTTCCAGTTTCTTTTCTTCTAGCTTCTCGGCCTTAACTTCAGAGATTTCAGCCTTCTCTTCGGTAGTTTTTAGATCTTTTTCTTCAGGTTTCTTGGTTTTAGCTTCCACTTCCTTTTCTTCTGCCTTTTCGGACTTCACTTCAGAGATTTCAGCCTTCTTTTTGGTAGTTTTTAGTTCTTTTTCCTCAGGTTTTTTGGATTCAGTTTCCAGTTTCTTTTCTTCTAATTTTTCAGCCTTTACTTCAGAGATTTCAGTCCTCTCTTTAGTAGGTTTAACATCTTTTTCGTCCGCTTTCTTGGTTTCAGCTTCCAATTTCTTTTGTTCTAGCTTTTCGGCCTTAACTTCTGAAATTTCAGCCTTCTCTTCGGTGGTTTTTAAATTTTTTTCTTCAGCTTTCTTAGCTTCAGCTTCCAGTTTCTTTTCTTCTAATTTTTCGGCCTTTACTTCAGAGATTTCAGCCTTCTCTTTAGTAGGTTTAACATCTTTTTCGTCCGCTTTCTTGGTTTCAGCTTCCAATTTCTTTTCTTCTAGCTTTTCGGCCTTAACTTCTGAAATTTCAGCCTTCTCTTCGGTGGTTTTTAAATTTTTCTCTTCAGCTTTCTTGGCTTCAGCTTCCAGTTTATTTTCTTCTAATTTTTCGGCCTTTACTTCAGAGATTTCAGCCTTTTCTTTAGTAGGTTTTAGTTCTTTTTCCTCAGGTTTTTTGGCTTTAGTTTCCAGTTCCTTTTCTTCTAATTTTTCGGCCTTTACTTCAGAGATTTCAGCCTTCTCCTTAGTAGGTTTTAGTTCTTTTTCCTCAGGTTTTTTGGCTTCAGCTTCCAGTTTCTTTTCTTCTAATTTTTCAGCCTTTACTTCAGAGATTTCAGCCTTCTCTTTAGTAGGTTTAACATCTTTTTCGTCCGCTTTCTTGGTTTCAGCTTCCAATTTCTTTTCTTCTAGCTTTTCGGCCTTAACTTCTGAAATTTCAGCCTTCTCTTCGGTGGTTTTTAAATTTTTCTCTTCAGCTTTCTTGGCTTCAGCTTCCAGTTTATTTTCTTCTAATTTTTCGGCCTTTACTTCAGAGATTTCAGCCTTTTCTTTAGTAGGTTTTAGTTCTTTTTCCTCAGGTTTTTTGGCTTTAGTTTCCAGTTCCTTTTCTTCTAATTTTTCGGCCTTTACTTCAGAGATTTCAGCCTTCTCCTTAGTAGGTTTTAGTTCTTTTTCCTCAGGTTTTTTGGCTTCAGCTTCCAGTTTCTTTTCTTCTAATTTTTCAGCCTTTACTTCAGAGATTTCAGCCTTCTCTTTAGTAGGTTTAACATCTTTTTCGTCCGCTTTCTTGGTTTCGGCTTCCAATTTCTTTTCTTCTAGCTTTTCGGCCTTAACTTCTGAAATTTCAGCCTTCTCTTCGGTGGTTTTTAAATTTTTCTCTTCAGCTTTCTTAGCTTCAGCTTCCAGTTTCTTTTCTTCTAATTTTTCGGCTTTTACTTCAGAGATTTCAGCCTTTTCTTTAGTAGGTTTTAGTTCTTTTTCCTCAGGTTTTTTGGCTTCAGCTTCCAGTTTCTTTTCTTCTAATTTTTCAGCCTTTACTTCAGAGATTTCAGCCTTCTCTTTAGTAGGTTTAACATCTTTTTCGTCCGCTTTCTTGGTTTCGGCTTCCAATTTCTTTTCTTCTAGCTTTTCGGCCTTAACTTCTGAAATTTCAGCCTTCTCTTCGGTGGTTTTTAAATTTTTCTCTTCAGCTTTCTTGGCTTCAGCTTCCAGTTTCTTTTCTTCTAATTTTTCGGCCTTTACTTCAGAGATTTCAGCCTTTTCTTTAGTAGGTTTTAGTTCTTTTTCCTCAGGTTTTTTGGCTTTAGTTTCCAGTTCCTTTTCTTCTAATTTTTCGGCCTTTACTTCAGAGATTTCAGCCTTCTCCTTAGTAGGTTTTAGTTCTTTTTCCTCAGGTTTTTTGGCTTCAGCTTCCAGTTTCTTTTCTTCTAATTTTTCATCCTTTACTTCAGAGATTTCAGCCTTCTCTTTAGTAGGTTTAACATCTTTTTCGTCCGCTTTCTTGGTTTCAGCTTCCAATTTCTTTTCTTCTAGCTTGTCGGCCTTAACTTCTGAAATTTCAGCCTTCTCTTCGGTGGTTTTTAAATTTTTCTCTTCAGCTTTCTTGGCTTCAGCTTCCAGTTTCTTTTCTTCTAATTTTTCGGCCTTTACTTCAGAGATTTCAGCCTTTTCTTTAGTAGGTTTTAGTTCTTTTTCCTCAGGTTTTTTGGCTTCAGCTTCCAGTTTCTTTTCTTCTAATTTTTCAGCCTTTACTTCAGAGATTTCAGCCTTCTCTTTAGTAGGTTTAACATCTTTTTCGTCCGCTTTCTTGGTTTCAGCTTCCAATTTCTTTTCTTCTAGCTTTTCGGCCTTAACTTCAGAAATTTCAGCCTTCTCTTTGGTAGTTTTCAAATCTTTTTCCTCAGGTTTCTTATTTTCAGTTTCCAGCTTCTTTTCTTCTATTTGTTCAGCCTTTACTTCAGTGATTTCAGCCGTCTCTTTAGTTGCTTTTACATCTTTTTCTTCAGCTTTCTTGGCTTCTGCTTCCAGTTTCTTTTCTTCTAATTTTTCAGCCTTTACTTCAGAGCTTTCAGCCTTCTCTTTAGTAGGTTTAACATCTTTTTCGTTCGCTTTCTTGGTTTCAGCTTCCAATTTCTTTTCTTCTAGCTTTTCGGCCTTAACTTCTGAAATTTCAGCCTTCTCTTCGGTAGTTTTTAAATCTTTCTCTTCAGCTTTCTTGGCTTTAGCTTCCAGTTCCTTTTCTTCTATTTTTTCGGCCTTTACTTCAGAGATTTCAGCCTTCTCTTTAGTAAGTTTTAGATCTTTTTCCTCAGGTTTCTTAGATTCAACTTCCACTTTAATTTCTTCTACCTTTTCGGCCTTCACTTCAGATACATCTGCCTTCTCTTTGGTAGTTTTGAGTTCTTTTTCTTCAGCTTTCTTGGCTTCAACCTCTATTTTCTTTTCTTCTAACTTTTCGGCCTTTACTTCAGATACTTCTGCCTTTTCTTTAGTAGTTTTAAGATCTTTTTCTTCAGCTTTCTTAGCTTCAGCTTCCAGTTGCATTTCTTCTATCTTTTCGGCCTTCACTTCAGATACTTCTGCCTTCTCTTTGGTAGTTTTTACTTCTTTTTCTTCAGCTTTCTTGGTTTTAGCTTCCACTTTCTTTTCTTCTAATTTTTCAGCCTTTACTTCAGATACTTCTGCCTTCTCTTTGGTAGTTTTTAGATCTTTCTCTTCAGCTTTTTTGGTTTCAGCTTCCAATTTCTTGTCTTCTAACTTTTCAGCCTTAACTTCAGAAATTTCAGCCTTCTCTTTAGTAGTTTTTACATCTTTCTCTTCAGCTTTCTTGGTTTCAACTTCCAGTTCCTTTTCTTCTAACTTTTCAGCCTTTACTTCAGATACTTCTGCCTTCTCTTTGGTAGATTTTAGTTCTTTTTCTTCAGCTTTCTTGGCTTTAGTCTCGAGTTCTGTTTCTTCTAATTTTTCGACCTTTACTTCAGATATTTCTGCCTTCTCTTTAGTAGTTTTTAGATCTTTTTCTTCAGTTTGCTTTGCTTCTACTTTTTGCTCTTCTATCTCTTCGACTGATATTTCCATTTCTTGTGATTTAGATTTTTCACACACTTTTTCCACAACGGTCTTTATTAATTTGCACATATCAAGCATATTTTCGTAAGCCTGAAGTGTTTTGATATTTGCCGTAGAGCTTTCTATGTTATCGTACTCCTTTAATGCTAAGCTTTTTACCTTTTCCACATCTCTATTCAAAGGTGAAGTGGCAATTTCTAACATATCATCAAATAAAACAAAAATGTCCATAAGATTTTTCTGAAGTTCAATTGAGTTAATGGACGATTTTTCGAAATCCTTTGAAGTTTTAAGACGATCGGCAATGTTTTGTATATTTGACAGTTTTGTAGTTAGCCCAGTTAATTTTCCCTGCCAAGATTCCATTGTAACTGCATCGATTTGTTTACATACTGAGGTAAAGTTATCGGTAATATTTTTTAAATATTCGCCGTTAATCGATTCTATTAAATCAGAGTTGTTGCCCAATATAGAATCGATAACGTTTTCAAGTTCTTCATTTAATCCGCCATCGTAAGTATGTACAATATGTTCTCTTAGCTTGAATATACATTTTCTTTTCTGTTCGTTATTTGATGAATCTAAAGTCTCTTGCAAATCTTTTTTAATATCTTGTAGATCACTGTTATCGCCTATAACTTCTAAAGCATTGGCAACGGTTTCCTCTATGGGTTTATGCTGCATTAAAGACTCGTTTTGAATGGTTTCTAGGAGTTGCTCAAACATTTCTTTCATATTTTCCAAGTCCAGTAATATTTCCAGGGCATCCTTTATTTCTGCCTTATCTAGCTTATCCACCAATTGATCGAGTTTAGAGGTGTTTAAAACATTCGGTTTTATTGCACTAATTTCCTCAGTCACTTCCTTTAATTGGCTTAAAGCTGATTTTAGAGCTATGAAAGAGGTTGATGATGGTTCCAGATTTCCTAGATTGTTCTGATAGATGTTATTGATTTCCAATGCGATTTGATTAAGGCTTTCGGATGTCTTTTGTATAATTTTGGATTTTTTGGGTTGGTTTTCAATTTTTTCAAGGATTTGGCTAACATTAGGCTTGACGGCTTCTACTACCTCATAAAGTATAGATTTGCGTAGTTTTTCATTATCATTTATAATGTTTAGCATAATATGCTTAAGATTTTGTAAGACGTTATGGGCAATTTCATCGGTAGACTCGGAGCTCGCAGCATATGTAATAAGTTGTTTGGTTTTGAATAACGGCAGGAATAAACGATCTTCAAGAGTAGTAGGAGTCTCAACCTCAATAGCTAATTGTAGTTCTTTTAAGTTGTCCATTACAGACATGACAAATTCCGAGGTACTTTGTTTAACTTGTTTGGGTTTTATTGTTTCAAGATATTGATTATTAGTGTTGATAAGCTGTAAAACATCCTTCATTAATGGCGTAAATTGGGGTTCTGGTTTGGCTTCTTCGGCTAATGGGGAAGTTGAGTCAACTTCCTTTTGTTCAGATTTCTTTTGAGCTTTTTCTTTTGTTTCTGGTTTAGCTTTAGCTTGTTCAGTTTCTTCGACTAATGTTGAAACTGTGTCAACATCCTTCTGTTCAGCCGTCTTAGGTGTTTCTTCTTCTGGTTTAGCTTTAGCTGGTTCAGTTTCTTCCACTAAGGTTGTGTCAAGATCTTTCTTTTGTGTTTTTGCTTCTGGTTCTGGTTTAGCTTTAGCTTGTTCAGATGCAGTTGTGTCAACATCCTTCTGTTCAGCTTTCTTTTGAGCTTTTTCTTCTGCTTTAACAGCTGTTTCAACATCCTTCTTTTTAGCTTTCTTAGCTACTTCTTCTGTTATAGCTGAATCTGTTTCAACATCCTTTTGTTCTTCCTTCTTTTGAGTTTCTGGTTTAGCTTTAGTCTGTTCAGATGCTTCGACAACATCTTTCTTTTGAGTTTCTTGTTCTGATTCTGGTTTAACTTTAGCTTGTTCGACATCCTTTTGTTTATCTTTCTTATAAGATTCTTCTTCCAATTGAACGGGTTTATCTTCTTCTTCTTGGACATCTTTGGTTTCGTCCTTTTGTTCAAGTGGTTTGGTTTCTTTCTCTTTCTCCTTTTTCTTTTGATCAGTTTTCTTTGCTTCTGAAACATCTTTATGTTCAGCTTTAGTTTGTTCAAACTGTTCTTCAGAAACAGCAAGTTGTTTTTCTGCCTGGGAGGCAGTAGTTTCAACTTCTCTTGATTCCATTTCTTTAACTCTTGCCATATTAGCTTTGAGATTATTTAAAAGCTCTCTTAGAATGCCAATAGTTTCTTCTTGTTCCACTTCATAAACTGTCTTCGATTGCAGTTTATTCTCCACCTTATTAAGCAGATTTTTCAAACTTTCCACAGTATCCTTATTTTCTTGCATAAAAACATGAACTAAGGAATTATTCTGTAACAATCCTTCGTGTATTTCCATTAGGAATAATTGAGCAGAATTAACATCTTCCAATAGCAATTGCATCTGCTCTTCACTGGCACGTTTTTGGCTCGAGGCAAGTATATCTTTGATTTCTCTTAACTCAGGAGTAAGATAATCAATTTCTTGCAATAGTTCTATAATTCTTAAATTACCCTCGTTATTTTCGATAAAATCATAAATTGAAACCAAAGTATTTTGGGTTTTCAATAGATTTGGCAGTATATCTTGGTTCGATTTTTCGCTAACATCGTTTAGGGCTCTAAATGCAGTCATAAGTTGGGTTTGTAGCTGAATCATTACACTGGATGATGTCTCTACATCGACCTTATTTAATTTGCTAATAATATCAACGGTTTCCATGAGATTTCTAAACGGTTGTATGAGAGTATCAAAATTAGCTTGTTGTTCTGTTGTTTCCAAGCAGGCCACTATGAATTCGGAGAAACCTAAAACTATTTTCTCTTTCATTTCCAAAGCCAATTGTATTTCCAGAGATGGCATGGCTTGTAGCAAATCCTCAAATGTTTTCTCTATATCTTCTAGACCCGTTTCCAAATCGGTGGCTTCATAGGTGTGTACCAAACATTCTTTTAGCTTAAACATTGTTTTGGCCACTTTGGTTTCCTTGGCGATTAAATCTTCGGTTTCTTCATTAGATTTCAAGAGATTACTTTCCATATTTAGCAGATCGTTTTTCAGTTCTTGCATGATATCCTCTAAACTAGTTACCTCAAAATCTTGTATCTGTTTGGTGGTATGTAAACATTCTTCAATTTGCTTAATGCCTCCTTTTACACAATCTTTTAAATCAAATGTTTTAACTTCTTGTACATGGGGTTTAGCTGGTTCCATACGTTCGTGTGCTGACACTGTTGCGGACTCGGCATAGGATTTAATATGGGAAATATTAAGCGAAGATAAATCTTCAATATTTTCAAATATTTGTGCATCAAAGTTTTCACAGTACTTTAGTAAATTGAAAAGTACTAAGGATTTTTCTTTAAGGGCTACAAATTCAGGACATTCCTCTAAAGCGCTAAAAGCTTGTTCTTGTTTTACATTAACAATGGCTTCTTTGAGACTTAACAATGGTTTGGCCCAGGTTTTTAATACTTCTAAGCTCGTTTGCTCGCTAAGATTGGACATTTGGGAGAGCATTACATTTTCCTCGGTGCAAATGGCTGCCTTTTCCAATTCTCTTAAAGGCTGTACAAATTCCTTTAGATGGGAAAATGTTTGTGTATCGGCCAATGATTCTAAAGTTTCCATAGCCTGATGTTCGTGTACAGCTAACACCTGAGATCTTAAACTTTCCAAAACTTTGGCTGAGGACATGCTTACAGCCGATAAAGTATTCATTGTTTCCACTTGTTCCAATTCTTGGGTATAGAATACTTTTACACCCTCTACCAATTCCTTTAAAGGTTGGGCCATAGTTTTAAGCTCCGAAATTTCATCACCACTCAAGTCTTTCACATCAAAGTTGTCTATATACTCTTGTATTTGTAGAGCACAATTTTCCAAACTGCAAACAGCCTCAGCCATTGTGCGCAGATCTGTACACTCGGACGAAGTTTGTACAATATCCAAAACATGCGGCTGTAGGGTTTGTTCTAAGCACTGTTTAAAGTCGGTCATCTTATTGACGGTAGCCTTCATTTGTTCCACAGCCTCGATTCTCAAGGAGCCCATGTCGTAGTCGTTGCAATGAGCCAACACCGAGGCTATACTATTCTTCAACTGACCCAGTAATTCATCCACCTGCTGCTTTTTCTCTTCGAATGATTTCAAAGGACCTGCGGAAACTTCTTCTTTAGTATCCTTTGGCAACGAAGCCCTGTCGCTATCAAGAGGTAAAGATTCGGCAGCAGATTTTAAGGCTGATACCTCTTCTAAAGTAGACAAATCTTCTACAGCTGTTTCCGTAGCAAGTTTGGGTAATATGTTCTCTAATGCAACTAATATTTTGTTAAATGGAGTAACAACTGGTGTTGCCGTAACATCATAATCCTCTAGTTGATCAATGGCAGATTTCAGCTCCTCAAAAGCAGAACGACAATTGGTGTAGAATATTTTAGAAAATTCAGTTTTACTTTTAACAGTTTTCAACTTCTCTAGTGATTGATTTAAACTTTCACAGTTTTTGGCAGTATTTCTTAGTATATTTAAAGAAGACTGCAGGGAATGTTGAGCCTTTTCTTTATTCGTCAGGATATCTATAACCTGCTCAAAAGGCTTTGCTAATTCTGTAAACTGTAACTTGAGTTCTTTGTCTAAAAATGTGCTCTGTTGCAAATATTTGATATTGTTATTTAGCTTTTCGATTTCCTTAAGACTTTCCTCCAATTCAATTCTCATTTCCATTTCTTGTCTCATTGATAAAAATAGATTATTATCCTTGATGGCCTGCTCTTCATCCAAAGCAATTTCCTTTTGCATATTCTTGAATTCATTCTCTTCGATATCGATTTCTATATGTTTAATAAGATTACGCATTTTATCTAATGTTTCGACAATATCAAAGTTTTGTTTGGTCGTCGAAAGTTGCAAAACTTCTTGGCTCATTTTAACTTTATCATTCAAACTATGCAAGGGATCTACCAGATCTGTTAAAGAACCTGAAATGGATTTCTGTTCAATTTGTCTTATGCAATAGTTAAGTTCATCGATGGGTTTCTTTATATTCTCCAGAACTGTTAAATGATATTTATCTATATCTTTATCGATAACTTGACCGATAAGAGAGGAAATTTCTTCTCTAAGTTTTGACAGACTCATGGATACATTCTGCGGCAAACGAGAAGTTATATTATCTATATTCGATTCCAAATGTAGAACAGCTTGTGCCAAAGACTGTAAAAGTTTCTTTAAATCATCTGTATCCATTAGCTGCTGGTCATCGGTTAGTTGACCCGACAAAATATCTTGACTTAATTGAGCCAAACCATTTTGTATTTCCTGTAATGGCGGTACCATAGATTCTACAGTACTAACCGTTAGTTTACCAGCTTCTATATTATGCGAAGGTTGCTGCTGAATAATTTCTAGACCTTTATTCAATTCGAATAAAGGTGGTGATACTATATCCAAGATAGCCATATTAACTTTTTGTTCTATACTATCAGAGCCCGACAGCGAACTAACTTTTCCTTCGATTTCAGCCACAACAGCCTGTAATTCGTTAATAGGCTCCACTAAGTTGTGCATTATTTTTTCATGAACCTTTTTGTAAATATCTTCATCACTATCCTCAAGTGTTAATTCATTTTCAACCTTTTCCAAAGCCGCCTGAATTCTTAAAACCGGTTCACAGATGTTCGTTACCGACTCTGAGTATTTGGGTAAATTGGCCTCCGCTACTTTGGCGAAAGGCAATGGTTCGGGTATATCTTGTAATTTGGCTACGGTTTCGGTAAAATGCTTAGTGGCTTCGATTTCTTGAGCCTCCTGTAATAAAGCCTGAGACTTTATAGTGTCTTTGGTAATTTCGAGACCCTGTTTAATATCATCTACAGTAAGTTGTAAATGAGATTTTAAATTTTCGTTTTCGAACAAGTTTGACACCATTTTAACTTCTTCCAAAGCCTTAATCAAATGATCCGCTATACTATCGATAATACAAACACTTGTTCTTTGTATCAATGTGGTGCCGGTCTCATCAATTTCCACACATTTTTCTATAACTTGTAAGGCCACATGAAGATTACGTATATCATCGTTCATCATCTCAAAAAGAGCATCTAAAGGCGTTTCTCCCGAGTATACTTTAAGTTTACTTTGTATTTGACTTATGGGATCAATGATATTTTTTATAATAGCTATACTTTGATCAGCCGATGAAGGAGTCATTAGCATAACTGATTGTTGTATAACTTCGGATTCTACGGCATTTAAATGGCCGTCTAAAACTTTTAAAAGTTTTGCCAGAGGCAATAAAGATTTGAGATTTCTTTCTATATCAGCCTCATTGCTGACAACTTTCAGAGGCTTGTCGCTTGTTACTTTCAGACCATCACCCACTGCGCCTGAGATATCTTGAAGTTGAGCCTCGTTTTCGGTAGTTTTTGAAGATTCACTATCAGTTTGTTTTTTGCCCTTTTTGCGCGCGGGAGCCTGTACGGATTCACTTAATGATTTGGAGTTATCCAATGACTCCATTTTCGACATTTGAGCACTGGCAAATGTTTGCAACTCTGAAGTATTTTCATCCACACTGCCATCGGAAGCTTTTGAAAAACTAAAGAATTCATCGGTTTCAGTGGGTTTAGATTTTTTGCGTTTTCTTATGGGCGCCGTCAAAGACAATTCTTCTTCCATTTTCTCAAAGGAAGTGCGGGCAAAGTCTTCAGTTTGTCGATCCAACTCCTCTTCATCCTTTAGTGAAGAACCATGAATAGTTATCTCATTAATAGAGATATCATCCATGCCCGCCTCGGTACGCAAATCTTCTTCGTGGGAGAAATATTCTGGAGAAATATCTATAACCACTGCTTCCATAAGTAATTTACCAGATTGCGAGGTTTCTTTGACAAACCGCAATGGCGGCAATTCAACGACATTGTGTTCGGTAACATGTTCGGAAATTTGATCAGCATACATTTCCACAATCTTCAAAGCTTCTTCCTCTGTTAGATCTGGAGTCTCATACAAAGATACCGACACTTCTTTGCCATCAAATGAAAATGATACATCTCCTTTCTCGGTAATAGTAATATCACCCTGAGGCGTTTCATATAATTGAGAAGTGTGTTCTTCCTGGATGGTGGATAAAGAAAAGTTACGCTGCAATTCATGTTGTTGTTTAGTTTCCTGTTTCGAATAATCATCCTCGAAACCCAGTAAAGCTGCTGAACTAGCTACCACACCCATGCAATTACGAGCCTCACAGGTATAGGTGCCCAAACAACAGGTGCCATCCTGTCCAGATATTATTTTATGGATATCTCCCGGTTTCAATTCAACACCATCTTTATACCATTTCAAAACAGGTTGGGGAACCCCAATGACTTTACATTCCAAATTAACAGCACCCTCCTCGGTGAGTACAGCTCTTAAACATTCCAGGAAACGAGGTTTCTTATAGTGTCGGGGAATTTGTAATTTCAAAAAGCAGGAAGTAACAGTCGTACCAAAATCATTAACAGCAACACATTTCCATTCTGCCTGGTCAATAAACTCCAGGTTTCTAATGTCCAAATGCCAATTATTTTCTTCACCGCGATAATGATTATAACGGTCATTAGACTCTATAGGCAATTCATCACGGAACCATGATAGTAAAGGATCTGGAGTAGCCTCTACCTTAACTGTAAACTGATAGGGTTCATTGATCTTAGTTTCTTCCGATTTAAGACCCATTAAAAATTTGGGAGGTTGAGATGTAGAAGTGGCAAATGTCAGACGTTCTTCGTCATTTAACTGATTCTGTATATCCTCTACGGTCAAGACAGCAATGCTGCTCGTTTCGCCCATACAATTTTTGGCTATACAGCAATATGTACCCAATGAATTAGTGCCCGTTAGTTGATATACATCACCTGGTTTTAGTTCTTGACCATCCTTAAACCATTTCAATTGGGGAGTAGGAAAGCCCACAACTTTACATTCGAATGAAACTAAACCTTCTTCTGTCAAAACAGCTCTCAAACTTTCCATAAAACGAGGTTTGCGATAATTTTTCGGAACTGAAAAAGAAAAATAAAGTTATTAAGTGTACATCTTATTGCCCCTAATATCAGTTACTCACTTTCCATATCAACTACACAAGAAGAAATGCCCACACAACTCTCTTCATTGGTAACCACACACTTCCATTCACCCTCATCGCAAGCCTCGGAGGGTTTAATTTCGATCATATACACACCCAAACCATCCTCTATGTATTTGTATCTATCACCAGATTCAACACGTCCATTTTTATTATACCATACAACACTCTGGGGCCACGGTGGTACAGCCACTGAAAAGTAAAATGGAAAATATATGAAAGATCGCAACTATTGAATATCACCACTCGAACAGGCATGAAAAATTTTAATCTAGACTATTGTCTAGACTATTGTCTAGACTATAGACTAGACTATTGTCTAGACTATAGACTAGACTATAGACTAGACTAGACTAGACTATAGACTAGACTATAGACTAGACTATAGACTAGACTATAGACTAGACTATAGACTAGACTATAGACTAGACTATAGACTAGACTATAGACTAGACTATAGACTAGACTATAGACTAGACTATAGACTAGACTATAGACTAGACTATAGACTAGACTATAGACTAGACTATAGACTAGACTATAGACTAGACTATAGACTAGACTATAGACTAGACTATAGACTAGACTATAGACTAGACTATAGACTATAGACTAGACTATAGACTAGACTATAGACTAGACTATAGACTAGACTATAGACTAGACTATAGACTAGACTATAGACTAGACTATAGACTAGACTATAGACTAGACTATAGACTAGACTATAGACTAGACTATAGACTAGACTATAGACTAGACTATAGACTAGACTATAGACTAGACTATAGACTAGACTATAGACTAGACTATAGACTAGACTATAGACTAGACTATAGACTAGACTATAGACTAGACTATAGACTAGACTATAGACTAGACTATAGACTAGACTATAGACTAGACTATAGACTAGACTATAGACTAGACTATAGACTAGACTATAGACTAGACTATAGACTAGACTATAGACTAGACTATAGACTAGACTATAGACTAGACTATAGACTAGACTATAGACTAGACTATAGACTAGACTATAGACTAGACTATAGACTAGACTATAGACTAGACTATAGACTAGACTATAGACTAGACTATAGACTAGACTATAGACTAGACTATAGACTAGACTATAGACTAGACTATAGACTAGACTATAGACTAGACTATAGACTAGACTATAGACTAGACTATAGACTAGACTATAGACTAGACTATAGACTAGACTATAGACTAGACTATAGACTAGACTATAGACTAGACTATAGACTAGACTATAGACTAGACTATAGACTAGACTATAGACTAGACTATAGACTAGACTATAGACTAGACTATAGACTAGACTATAGACTAGACTATAGACTAGACTATAGACTAGACTATAGACTAGACTATAGACTAGACTATAGACTAGACTATAGACTAGACTATAGACTAGACTATAGACTAGACTATAGACTAGACTATAGACTAGACTATAGACTAGACTATAGACTAGACTATAGACTAGACTATAGACTAGACTATAGACTAGACTATAGACTAGACTATAGACTAGACTATAGACTAGACTATAGACTAGACTATAGACTAGACTATAGACTAGACTATAGACTAGACTATAGACTAGACTATAGACTAGACTAGACTATAGACTAGACTAGACTATAGACTATAGACTAGACTAGACTATAGACTAGACTAGACTATAGACTAGACTAGACTAGACTATAGACTAGACTAGACTATAGACTAGACTATAGACTAGACTATAGACTAGACTATAGACTAGACTAGACTATAGACTAGACTATAGACTAGACTATAGACTAGACTAGACTATAGACTAGACTATAGACTAGACTAGACTATAGACTAGACTATAGACTAGACTAGACTATAGACTAGACTAGACTATAGACTAGACTAGACTATAGACTAGACTATAGACTAGACTATAGACTAGACTAGACTAGACTAGACTAGATAGACTAGACTAGACTAGACTAGACTAGACTAGACTAGACTAGACTATAGACTAGACTAGACTATAGACTAGACTATAGACTAGACTATAGACTAGACTATAGACTAGACTATAGACTAGACTATAGACTAGACTATAGACTAGACTATAGACTATAGACTAGACTATAGACTAGACTATAGACTAGACTATAGACTAGACTATAGACTAGACTATAGACTAGACTATAGATTAGACTATAGACTAGACTATAGATTAGACTATAGACTAGACATGTCTATTGACTACTTATCAAATGTTTAAAAGTTAGAAGAAGCGCCGAAAATGTATGAGAGCTGGCGCGCTATTTTCCAATATCAAGAAGTACTGAATTTCCCATGCCTGCCCTCGATATACGTATTTCTTTATTCTCTCAATTTCAAATAATTTATTTTGTTTTGTTCTTAATATTCGTCATCTCTTCTCATTTTTTATTTTTTCGTCTAAGTGAGAAATTAAACACAAATGCTACAGTTGACCTGCCTCACTGTATATGTTCGGTATGCAAAACATTTAAATCAGTTCAAGTTTATATATCTTGAGCAAATTTTCTATACAAAATGCCGGCATTTCTTTTTCAGCCATGCAGACGCGTGATTTTTTTCTTTTTTTTTTTTTGGTAAAAAGTTGGCCAAATGCCAACTAACAATATAAACACCAATACAATGACAAAAATACACTCACTCACCTTGGCATCCGAGAATAATTGTATCACCAATGCGAACACTCGCATTTTTTAGTTCGTTAGTAAATATTGGTGGGGGAGCGGTGTTAGTCACGCTAAAAAGAGAATAAATGAATATGAGAAGAGTTAAGAGTTAATAAAAATTTAGCCCTCCTTACCTATCGGCGGGTTTTAATGAACCCTCTCTACTGCCACGGCCCACAACGTGCAGTTTGGAGCTTGAATATGCCTTACCCACACAATTAACTGCTTCACATGTATAGGTACCCAATGAAGTGGGATCATCAGCATTGGCGGTAAGAGCAAACACATCACCGGCCTTAATCTCTTTAGAATCCTTAAACCAACGCAATTGTGGAGTGGGTACACCCACCACTTTACATTCCAACGATACTGTGCCCTGTTGCGTTAAAATCGCTCTTAGTTCTTCTATAAACTCGGGAGCTTTATAGGCTTTCGGCACGAGGACAGTTAAATTGGAAATGCAAGAATTACGGCCACTAAAATTCTCTGCCATAACCATCCACTGGCCACCATCCTCCACTACCACAGGATTTATTTCCAGATAATGGAAGTTACCCTCATGAACCTCTTTAATACGATCATTTTCACACACGCGTCGATCGTTTCGGAACCAGGTAAGCTAAACCAACAAATGACATTATAGTTAAAAAGTTATTGTCTTACAATTTCATCTCTTTAAGTTACCTTCACATCTGAGGAACTGCGTATTTCGGTTATAAGTCTAGAACTTGAACCAACTCTTACTTGCAAGTCCAGCAAACGCCGTAGAAATATTGGTGGATCATCGCCCGTTGATCGATCCTCAACTATTAGCTGTACATCTTTTCGTATGACATCGTTGCTTTTTGTTTTAGCAAAAAGCGTATAATGACCAGCATCTTCTCGTTGCACATGTTCAACTGCCAATTGAACTGCAGTACTGGTCTTTGTTATGCGAAAACGATCGGAATTATAAATGGGAATTTCACCGCGACTCCTGTTAGACGAATAATAATAAAAGAAAAGTGTTAATGTCGAATTTATTTCTTGTTCCAGGCTTAAGGTTAAGATATTTGAAGAGAGAAGAACATATGTAGACTATAGACTAGACTATAGACTAGACTATAGACTAGACTATAGACTAGACTATAGACTAGACTATAGACTAGACTATAGACTAGACTATAGACTAGACTATAGACTAGACTATAGACTAGACTATAGACTAGACTATAGACTAGACTATAGACTAGACTATAGACTAGACTATAGACTAGACTATAGACTAGACTATAGACTAGACTATAGACTAGACTATAGACTAGACTATAGACTAGACTATAGACTAGACTATAGACTAGACTATAGACTAGACTATAGACTAGACTATAGACTAGACTATAGACTAGACTATAGACTAGACTATAGACTAGACTATAGACTAGACTATAGACTAGACTATAGACTAGACTATAGACTAGACTATAGACTAGACTATAGACTAGACTATAGACTAGACTATAGACTAGACTATAGACTAGACTATAGACTAGACTATAGACTAGACTATAGACTAGACTATAGACTAGACTATAGACTAGACTATAGACTAGACTATAGACTAGACTATAGACTAGACTATAGACTAGACTATAGACTAGACTATAGACTAGACTATAGACTAGACTATAGACTAGACTATAGACTAGACTACAGACTAGACTACAGACTAGACTATAGACTAGACTATAGACTAGACTATAGACTAGACTATAGACTAGACTATAGACTAGACTATAGACTAGACTATAGACTAGACTATAGACTAGACTATAGACTAGACTATAGACTAGACTATAGCCTAGACTATAGACTAGACTATAGACTAGACTATAGACTAGACTATAGACTAGACTATAGACTAGACTATAGACTAGACTATAGACTAGACTAATAGACTAGACTATAGACTAGACTATAGACTAGACTATAGTACTAGACTATAGCCTAGACTATAGACTAGACTATAGACTAGACTATAGACTAGACTATAGACTAGACTATAGACTAGACTATAGACTAGACTATAGACTAGACTATAGACTAGACTATAGACTAGACTATTAAGACTAGACTATAGACTAGACTATAGACTAGACTATAGACTAGACTATAGACTAGACTATAGACTCGACCTATGACTAGACTATAGACTAGACTATAGACTAGACTATAGACTAGACTATAGACTAGGACTACTAGACTATAAGACTATAGACTAGACTATCGACTAGACTATAGATAGATATAGACTAGACTATAGACTCAGACTATAGACTAGACTATAGGACTAGACTATAGACTAGACTAGACTAGACTATAGACTAGATATAGACTAGACTATAGACTAGACTATAGACTAGACTATAGACTAGACTATAGACTAGACTATAGACTAGACTATAAGACTGAGACTATAGACTAGACTATAGACTAGACTATAGACTAGACTATAGACTAGACTATAGACTAGACTATAGACTAGACTATAGACTAGACTATAGACTAGACTATAGACTAGACTATAGACTAGACTATAGACTAGACTATAGACTAGACTATAGACTAGACTATAGACTAGACTATAGACTAGACTATAGACTAGACTATAGACTAGACTATAGACTAGACTATAGACTAGACTATAGACTAGACTATAGACTAGACTATAGACTAGACTATAGACTAGACTATAGACTAGACTATAGACTAGACTATAGACTAGACTATAGACTAGACTATAGACTAGACTATAGACTAGACTATAGACTAGACTATAGACTAGACTATAGACTAGACTATAGACTAGACTATAGACTAGACTATAGACTAGACTATAGACTAGACTATAGACTAGATATAGACTAGACTATAGACTAGACTATAGACTAGACTATAAACTAGACTATAGACTAGACTATAGACTAGACTATAGACTAGACTATAGACTAGACTATAGACTAGACTATAGACTAGACTATAGACTAGACTATAGAGTAGACTATAGACTAGACTAGACATAGACTAGACTATAGACTAGACTATAGACTAGACTATAGACTAGACTATAGACTAGACTATAGACTAGACTATAGACTAGACTAGACTATAGACTAGACTATAGACTAGACTATAGACTAGACTATAGACTAGACTATAGACTAGACTATAGACTAGACTATAGACTAGACTATAGACTAGACTATAGACTAGACTATAGACTAGACTATAGACTAGACTAGACTATAGACTTAAAAAACTCTCAGAAAAAAACTCTTATTATAAAAACACTACATTGACAACATTTCGTTTTATAATTTGAACGTATAAGTAATATATATTTATTTTCAAACAATAACATTACTCATACGTCAAGACATTCATTAGCAAATGTCTTCAGCAATAACAACAACAACAACAACAGAACTGATGTTAAAATTAAGTTTATTAATAAAAATTATATATTCGAAAATATAAAATCTGTCTATTTATATACACTAGAGTTCGCCCAGCGGTCGAAATTCGACCAGAACCAATGCTGGAAAAATTCAATAATTAGCTAAAATAAAACCCTATTTTTGTAGTTCAAATCTGTGGTAAAAATTAACTTTATTGATATTATCAAAGTGTATAATTTGCTTTGAATAATGTTTTCTTTTAGAAAATGTGATGGGTTTTAGTAAAACTTCCATCAGAAGTTTAAAACCTCAATTGTCAAAATTAGTTATACAACTTGTTTTACAAAAGTATTTCAACTATTTTAAAAATAATAAAAAATAACGAACATTTCTTCTATCGATTTATTATCCCCTACATATTTACGCATCGTTCACAATGCTGGAGTACTCTACTGTACAGTGTACACACCAGTAAAGAAATGTTAGCTGTTCAAAATACAGAGTTGAAATGTTCTAAATAATTTGTGAAAACAGTAAAAATATTTAAAATAAATAATGTCTTATCTAATTATAAATAAATTTTATTTGGATGTCATTAGTAGTCCATCCAACAGGTATATGCTTTATAAATTTTCCCTTATAACACTCGACAAAGACTTCAGCAGACATACATTTATTCAATTTTAATGTCTTCTAATAGAATTTAATAGTAGATATTCTATGAGGCCTTCTAATGGGCCTTTTATTAGCCTTCATATAGAAACGCATAAGGATATGCATTGGCTTCCAATTACACACTGATTTTGTATATGCATAATAAGACCTTCATTTCTCAAGTACTGTTTTTAGTACTTTTTGAAAGAAAACATTAATAAACTATAAATTTCAGTCTTTTGTTAATATATGCAAGTTTAATAGCAAGTAAATGAATAATAAACGATAAATTGCTAAGTACGGTTAAACACTCTTCATCCCAAAAGACATGATTTATATTTAGCAGTTTCAACTTGTATCTATTTTTATATAACAAATAACCATCACATATTCAACTTAGTTTTCACTTTACACTACTATTTCCTAATTGGTTAGAATAGCCCAAAAAAGAAGAATATCATCAAGTCCTCGCTGTGCTAAACCTGCATATAAGCGATATACATATCCATTTATTGCGGTGTATCATATACCGGCATGACCAACTAAACTTTACTTATATTTTTTACAGGCTATTTTTATTTCTTACTGACACTGAATCAATTCGTTAATCCATCATTTAAATCTTCCAAATCAATCAAAACTAATAATTATGTACCGCAATTCAGTATTTTTTTAACTACAACATTTTGTTGTTATGTGGTAAGTATTCTGAACTTCATTTCACCGATTTTTTTCGTTAAACATAATCGAAAAAATAAATTAAAAGTTCACGTTAATAATTTTATATTTTAAAAATATTTCAATACATAACTTTTGACATTCTTATATTTTTCCGACATTTGTCTTTAAAATATTCTGCGGTTGTTAAAAGTTAGGGAAATTCGTTAATGTAACTGATATTTGTCATTACTTTTAGATATTAAAAAAAAAATTACTGAATTCCGGTACTGATGTCCTACCAATAATTTTCCAGTTCAAACACCAATATCAGTACATTGTTTGGCATTTCTTTAGGTGTCCCCAAGCATTATTTACGCATGTTTTTATATTCCCAGTTCGTTGTTTCCTCGGGAATGTCCTTCAATTTAACTACATATTTTGAAAAGTTTAAATAACGAAAAACTTCCAATCGAAAACTCTGAATATAAAACTGAAGTCCTACTTCTTATAAAAATATTCCTTTCGATTTGGTAACAATCGTAACGATATTATAACAAAATAGATCATTATCTCATTCACAATTTAGCACTTTACAAAAATATAAAACAATAAAATCCTATTTTCGCATTGCCTAAGCCTTATTAAAAACAACAACAAAAACAAATATCATGCAAAATACAAAAATCAAACAGCAACAGAGAAGTTAAACGTTTCTGCACTCTCCTCTCTTTTTTCAAAATGCCGTGTTGTTTAGTTTTTTTGTTTTGTTTCTTGCTTTGTTTGTTTTTAATTTCAAGAATACGTACGTGTGACTATTGTTTCTATGTATTAGTAACAACTTTAAACTCTTATAGCTCCTAAAATTCTGAACCGATCTCATTAATATATATATTGTGCACATCTGCGAACAAATACCTTTAAAATGATATAATTTTTGCCAAGATCAGATGTATCCTGTAAGAGTAAAAGGGGTCACAAGAAATCGTCTTGCCTATTAATTATATAGATACAGATGTACATATGTATATGAATGACACAGTATTTGTAAACAAATGTCAATTGAAATAATAAAATACATACATTAACAATACCTTTTACATATTATATAGGCGAATATAATCATTTATCATTTTCTTTAATATAAAAAAAAACATGAAGATAAAGATGTTGTTTTGGAAATTTCCTTTTCATATTTACCTTTTTCTATATATTGATGATGAAGAAG